CCTCACCTCGTGCCTGTGTTTTGTCCCCTCAGAGCTGACCTGCCCGGGCTGCAGCACCTGTAAAGAAGCTGCTGCAGGATGAAAAGATGGCAGCGCGGCTGCTCGCACCACCAGGCCCCGAGAGTTTTAAACCCTTCACTCCGGAGTCCCTGGCCAACATCGAGAAACACATCGCAGAGCTGAAGAAAAAACAACGTTCCAAGCAGGACAGCAGCCACAGGGACGACGATGAAGACAGCAAACCAAAACCAAACAGTGACCTTGAGGCGGGCAAGAATCTGCCTTTCATCTACGGGGACATCCCTAAAGGGCTGGTTGCTGTGCCACTGGAGGACTTTGACCCTTATTATATGACCCAGAAAGTGAGTCTGCAAGACAGGAGTTGCTAAAGAGCCTTTTTTTTTAAAAATTATTTTTAAATTTTTTTTTTATTATTCTCGTGAAATTACAGGTTTGGGGATGGTTTAAACAGAAGACGAAGAAAAAGGGAGTCTTGGATTGGGGTGTTGGTTTGGTTGTTTTGTTTTCTTGTGTGTTTTTCCGTGAGGTTTAATAGAGGTGATTTGATCAGTCTTTAAGGATGGAGTTAGGAGAACAAGCTCTGGAAACTAAAAATAGTTCAAGTTGTTCTAATGTGCCAATTTTAACCATCAGGGCAATAAGAAGAATTTAATTGAGGGGTAACAGTAAGGATTTCATCACTTACATGGAATTCAGTCTGAAGTCGATGGTTCTGAAGCACTGGGACACAGAATCATGGTGAAAAAGAACAATTAACTGGCTTTCATCTTAATTTTTATTTGTCTGGAGCTCAGGTGTTGTGGCAGGAGGGTGCTGAGGTGTTTGAGGTGAGAGGTTTGGCAAACTCCTCTGGGGCGAAGGGCAGGGATGCAGTGGTGCTGGAATGGGGAGCTTGGTCACTGGTTTTAGAGCAGCTGAGAGTTCTTTAGTGTTTAATTCCATTGCTTTGTTGGATCCCAGTCCAACTGAGGCAGTCAGCAGCTCGAGTGAGGCTCAGCTGTGCCTCTGGGGGAGCTGCAGCTTGAGCTGTGTGGGTGACAGGAGCTGGGATGTGGCTGCTGGGAGCTCAGCCTGAGCTGGCTGCGTGTGAGATGTGTGCCATGGGGAGCCAGGGCTGCATGAGTTTTTGTTGGGACAGGCATTTGTGCTCACGATGGCTCTGTGACTGGCAGGGCGTTGTTCACATGGAATCAGCCGGGTTTGGGGAGTGATGAGTGCACCTCACCCTCCTTTACTGTGTTCACGGATTAATTTAATGTTGTTTCTTGTGTCCAGAGTGCTGACTCAGAGCAGGGCTGTGAAATTTGGGGATCTGTGTGTTGCACCGTGGTGCCCAGCTGATGTGGTCCTTCATTACCAGCAGCTGCTGTGGCAGGAACACTCAGGAATTCTTCTTATTTTTTGAACAAATATTTTTCTCTTTATTAAACCAATCTGCTTCTGGTGAGAGCAGGTCGTGGAATTACAGGATGGGTTTGGAGGGACCTTAAAGCCCATCCAGTCCTGCTTTATCCACTTCCCACTGTCCCAGGCTGCTCCAAGCCCTGTCCAGCCTGGCCTTGGCCACTTCCAGGGATCCAGGGGCAGCCCCAGCTGCTCTGGGAATTCCATTCCAGCGCCTGCCCATCCTCACAAGAGAATTCCCAAGGTCTCTGCACCCACCACAGAGGTGTTGGGAAATCTCTGTGGTCCCCCCTGGGCGAGTTTTGAAGCCTCTTCGTGTCCCTGTGCTTGAAGGGGAGGTGTCAGGGGGAGAATTGGGCTGGTTCTTGTTTTTTGCTGGCCCGGGTAGGTGGCAGTGCCAGGGGCAGTGGGCAGAGCTCTGATCTTCTCACCATTCCAGCACAAGCAGGAGGCACAGGGAACCCCTTTACCCCCTCCTGCTGCATCCCTCTCCATATTTGCCTCCCAACACAAAGCTATTAATAAACCTTTCCTTTCTAGAGGAGGAAAAAAAAAAAAGAAAAAAAAGAAAAAAAAAAAAAGCCCGAGCTGCACTCCCCTCTCTGAAGGCATCTGTCACAGCTCTGGGAGCGCCGTGCGTGCCTTGTGGAATCCTTGGCAGCCTGAGAGGCACGGAAGGTTCTGGAGAGGGGAGGCAAAGCCCCCCCCCAGCCCTGCTGACCCCACAGGGGTTCCCCAGGACCCCCGCATCCCCCACATCCCCCCCACAATCCCCCCACATCCCCCCCACATCCCCCACATCCCCTTCTCCCTTCCCTTTGTGTCCATCCCAGCCTGGCCCTGCCTTAGGTTCTCCTCTTTGCTTCCAGCACTCAGTGACTTTCCACAAAGAATTTTTTTTTTTTTTTTTTAAAGTCCATTAAAAAAAGGCCCTTTTCTGAATCATCAGGAATTGCGAATCTGCTTGAATCATGGGAAGTTTTCCAAGATTTTTTTTTTCCTCCCCTCCCTTCTCCACAAGGCTTTGCATCACAGGTCTTTGCTTTTGCAGCGTGCACAGGGACGAATCAGCTTTTCCCTGCAGGAGGACACGGTGATCTTGGTTTTGTCTAAGGAAACTGAAACTGCATTTTAACAGAGCACCTGAACCTCCCAGTGCCTGTAAAGTGAGATTGAAAGGAGAAACGGTGTGACCTGGAGACACAGCCCTGGCACAGGGAGTCACAAGTTCATAGCCCAGCAATGGTTTTGTCCGAGGTGCTGCTCTTTGCTCTGCTCGGTTTCGTTTTGCAAAATGGGACTCACAGAATTCCAGAATCCCTGAAGTTGGAAAAGACTTTCAGGATTATAAAGTCCAACCTGTGACAGATCTCCACCAGAGCTCTGAGTGCCACGTCCAGGAATTCCTGGGACACCTCCAGTGCCTGCCCACCCTTTCCATGGAGAAATTCCTGCTGCTGTCCCCCCTGAGCCTGTCCAACCTGTTCCCTGGGATAAAATCCCAAATTCCCCCTGGCTGTCCCTTCCTGTCAGGGATTTGTGCAGAGCCAGCAGCTCCCCCCTGATCCCAGATTTTCTCCAGGCTGAGCCCCTTCCCAGCTCCCTCAGCCCCTCCTTGTGCTCCAGGTTCCCAGCTCTGGGCACATTTTAGCCCCTCAGTGTCTTGAAGTGAGGGATGAGTCACGACTCTGAGGAGAATCAGGAGAATCTGGAATCCCTTTGCTCACAGCTTTGGGAGCTGCTTTAGCTCCTTTTTGTCTCTGTGTAAGGACCAGAAAGAATTTTTTCACGATTCCTTGTTTTACAGCTTGTAATGGCCTTCCAGTTCCTGGCCTGAAGCACAAGGAATTGCCCATTTTTATTATGGAAACCCAAAACATTTCAATTAATATATCCAGAAGGAAAGTACATGAACTTCCTTGTTCACATGTGCAAACAAAATTCAGGGAAATTCCCTGTGTGAGCAGCCCAGCAATGGGAGCAGAGCAACCTCACAGCCTTAAATCCTTCAGTGTTTATTGAGCAAGACACCAGGGCCTTCCTTTCATTCACAGCTTTATCAGGATTTCAATTTTTAATGTTTTTCCATCTTCTGCACTGCTCTTTCCTTCTGATCCATTTGTGGCCCAGCCCATCCCTCCTATTAAACATCTCCTCACCCCATTCTTTCCCTCTGGACGTGATCTTGTGGCTTTTTTTTTTCCTTAATTTCCTTCGGCAGGAATTTCATCTGTGCTACAGAGTGAGGTGCTGCTGTTTCTCCCAGTTCTGAGGCAGCAGAAGGTGCCTGGATATTCTGAGAGTTGAGACTGGATGAGGTGATGTGGATGGATTTGAGTGGGAAAAGGAAGAATGTCCACACCTGAGTGAGATGTGAGGCTGGGCTGGGACATCTGAGGTCACCTATGGCTGCCAGAGAAGCACCTGAGGATCTCTCCAGAGCCTTTGTGCCAAGGGAGTGACTTGCAGCTTTATCAAGTCACATGCCAGCTTTGGAAACGGGCCCCGTGGGTCCCGAATGTCACCTTGGGCCAGGAAAATCACAGGGATGTGAGGGACCAGCTGCAGGAGGCACGTCTGGCTCTGGAATGTGCCTGTGGTGTCTGCAGGGAGGGACTCTGCAAGGTCACCACACCATCCCTGGGTTTGCATTTCAGTCAAGTCACCAGAACACAGGAAAGAGTCAGAACCAGCTCCAAAAAAAAAAAAAAATCAGCTTTTTATTATTATTTCCAGAGTCTCATTGCCTTTTCCAGGTCTTGAGTGCTTCGTGGTGTTTTTTTTTTTTTTTTTTTTTTTGCTCTTATCTTTCCTAATCGAGGTGGAGGTGGTTAGAAAGTGAGTGTGAAAGGGAAAGAGTGGAGAAAGGAGATGGGGTTGTTGGCAGTGGCTGTCTCCAGTCCTCTCCAGGGGAGGCAGAGTGTGATGGANTTTTTTTTTTTTTTTTTTTCTTCTGCTCTATCTCTCCAGTTGGCTTCAGAGGAGCAGGAAAAGTGAGTGTGAAAGGGAAAGAGTGGAGAAAGGAGATGGGGTTGTTGGCAGTGGCTGTCTCCAGTCCTCTCCAGGGGAGGCAGAGTGTGATGGAGCTGCTGGCTGGGGATGCAGGCACACAGAGCTGGGCTCAGGGAATGCCAAGGTGCAATCTCAGCTCCTCAATATCTGCAGCCCCCTCGTGATGGGGTGTGATGGGAAGAAGAAACTCAGAAAGGGTGGGCAGTTATTTCTGAGAGTGCATTTCCCTGCACAGGCACATTGTGAGGGCATTAAAACCTCAAATCTCCAGCAGCTCCACGTCCTCCCTGTGCTGGAGGCAGCTCTGCAGGTGAGGTCTCACCTGAGAGAGGCAGGAAGGGGACTCAGCCCAGGCTCAGGGGGTTCCTGGGCCACGTCCAGCACCTAAAACCCTTTTCCCCAGGGTCTGATCGTGTCTGTAATTCTCCAGCACCCACGGGGCGCCCAGTTTCCTGTAAATTCCTTTTTCCAGCAGCTCAGGGTGTCACCAGGAAATCATCGCTCTCCCCTGCTCGGCGTCATCGTGTCCCTGCTGCAGGAATGAGCTTCCATCTGTTCCCAGGCTGTTCCTGGAGCTGTTTTCTTCTGAAATCTCCTGCCCACTCCTCCTCACTCCTCACTCCTCACTCAGCCATCACAGAGCTGCTCCGTGCAGAACCTGCAGGGAGCCAGGGCTGGTTTCAGCCTTGCTGGAGCTGGGAGGATTCTTGCCACCCCTCGGTCGCTTCTGTTGCTCTCCCAGGCACAGTCATGGGTTTTTGCAGATTGATTTAGAGAATTTCTTTTCTTTCTTTTTTTCTTTTTATGAGACCTGTTTGCAAGGTTTTGGTGGGTCCTGATGAGTTGATGGAAACTAAAGCTGGTGGAGGTTTTTTTTCCACAGCTCTTAACAACAAATGGAGGCTTTGGGAAGTCCCAGGCAGACACAACCATCTCTTAAAATGACTGCAAAAATACTTTTCTCCAGGTATCTCCTTCCTCTGAGCTTTGAGCTTTGCCTCAGCACATCTTAAAAGCTCTTAAGGATGTTCTTGGCCCAGATCCAGAAAATGTTTTAAGAGCTTGCAGCCATTTTGAAATGGAGTTTTAATATGTCAGCAGCAGAAGGGAAAACTAAAAGAGGGTTTTGCCAAACACTTCTTGGCTTTTGGGCTTTTCTTTCTATTGATGAGACCAAGTGGAGATTTACTCAGGATTTTACAGGGTGCACAGGGGAGTGCTGGATCTGGGAACTGTCCTAATGGATGGGCAGACTGGAAATTATGACACCTTAGTGGTGTCAGGCTTGTGCTGAAAGGCCCAGGAATGATGAGCTTTGCAGGCAGGAATAATTCAATAATTCAGTTTACAGAAATAATTCAACAAGTTTTGTGGTCTGAAAGGAGAAATCTGGGCAGGGCACAGAGAGAGAAAACAAAGAACTGCCTTAGGTGCACTCACAAACAGGGAGGAGGAGAGCAAGGAGAGCAAGGAGCTCACGGTTTTTAGGCAGTGGGATGAAAATTGAGATTTCTCCATGGAAAAAAACATCGAAGGAGCTGCCCAGGGAGGTTTGGAGTCCCCAGCCCTGGAGGTGTCCAGGGAATTGAGTGGAGCTCGAAGGATTTTTGCCATCCCTCACTCCCAAGCACAGTCACCACTCTGCAGATTTTTGACAATTTATTTTTTTGGGGACTTTTCCTTGTTTTAATGAAGGCACTCGGGGGCTGGGTGACAGGTCACAAATGATGTTGGAATCGTCAAAAAATCTGGGATTCTGTGAGATTACAGCAGGCAGTGCCAAATTCCTGAAATTGTCAAAGATCTGCTGGGAGTGGCTGTTCCATGTGCCAGGACCGAGGGCTCCCACCTTTGTGTCCCACCCCAGCTGAGTTTTCCTCACTCTGAATTTTGGTTTTTTTTTTTTCTACCTCTGTGAAACCACACAAACATTCCTGTGTCTGCAGGGTTTTACTCCTGCCTTGCTGATTTTTGGCTCAATTCTTCCATGGGGATTTTTCCTGTGGGAAATGGAGACACAGTGATTGATCTTGGAAGGTGTTGGAGTGAGATTTGGGAAATTTCCTCTTTTTTTTTTTTTTTTTTCCAGCTCACCTTGTCCCTGTAACGTTCAGCACAGTCCTGCTGGAGATTTTATTGCTCAAAAAATGTGGGAGAATTGGGAGATCTGTGCTGTCCCAGGGCAGTGAGAATCCTGGTGGGATGAGTGTCTTTTTTTTTTTTTTTTTTTAAAAAGGAAAATTTAAAAGGATTTTAAAAAAAGAAGGGGATGTGAGTCCTGGAAAGTTGGTGGTGTCAGGGAAGGGGGGCAGAGCTGATTCCTAGAATTGGGTGTACCCTGAGCACTCTGTAATGGCAATTTTGCAAAAAAAAAAACCAAAAAAAACCAAAAAAACCCCAACTTTTGGGCCCTTTTAGAAGCTTTGTCCATGCCAAGGTGATGTGGTCATGAATTCTTGATGCTGCAATTTCAGAGCTGCCCGGGGCTGTTTTGCTGGGGATGCAATTTTTTTTAAATTTTTTTTTAAATTTTTTTTTAAATTTTTTTTTAAATTTTTTTTTTTTTATTTTTTTTTTTGTTTGGATGTGCTGGTGTGAACTCAGTTTACCTGGGGGTTTATCTAGTCCTTAACAAAAATAAAAATATTTATATTTTTTATAGGTTGTTAATAAAATAATGAACCTCACATTTCCACTCGGTTTGGAGTGAAAAGCAGAGACACCCAGGCTGTGCTGGCTCTGCTGCCACCTCTTTTTTATCCTGAATTTATTTTTTTTTAATTACCCTGGAAATTATTTGTGTGAGTTCTCTGATGAAATGAATATTTGAGAATTATCTCCAAATATTCCCACGATGTACAGGTGTGTTATACCCTAATGGGAAATTCATAAAGGAAATTATTAAAAAAAAAAAAAAGAGCAGAAAATTCCATTTTTTAACCCTGGAAATTTTGTGTGATGTTTGTAGGGAAATGAATATTTGAGAATTATCCTCAGTGTGTGTGATACCCATGATGTGCCCTAATGGGAAATTCATAAAGGAAATTATTTAAAAAAAAAAAATAGCAGAAAATTCCATTTTTTAACCCTGGAAGTTGTGTGAGTTTATGTGAATTCTCTAGTGAAATGGATATTTGGAGTGGAATTATTTATGCTGTGTGTGATGCCCATGATGAACCCTAATTTCAACTTCACAAAGGAAATTATTAAAAAAAAAAAAAAAAACAGAAAAAACCCGCAAAAAACCAGAAAAATTCTTTTTTTTTTTTAACCCTGCAACTTGCTTATCTGTTTTACACAATTGCTGCTGTGATTGTCCTGAATTAATTCTCTTTTTTTTTTAATTTTTTTTTATTTTTTTTTATTTTTTTTTCTCTGCAGACCTTTGTAGTCCTAAACAGAGGGAAAACTCTCTTCCGATTTAGTGCCACACCTGCCTTGTACATTTTAAGTCCTTTTAATCTCTTTAGAAGAATAGCTATTAAAATTTTGATACATTCATATCCTTTGGATTATTGAATTTATTTATTTTTATTATTTTTATTTTTTTTATTTCTCGTTTCACAGATGTGGGTTGGTCTCAGAACATGACAAAATTCAGGTTTTTATGGGGTGGTAAATGGGTTTTTTTTAGCCCTCAATGAAGGGAAATTCTCATTTATTTTTCCTTTTTTTCCCTCAGTCACACACGTGGATGAGTTTTGGAATAAATGGGATTTTTAAGGGTGTGCTTCAGGTGAGGAGTTGGGCTTTAGGAGCTGCTGGAAATTGGTAAAATTGGGTTAAAATAGAGTGAAATAAATAATAATAATAATATAAAAGAAAATAAATATATAATAGGAAATAGACTATGAAATAGAAAATAGAATATATAGTATAAAATATAAAATATAAAATAGAATAGAGAATATATAATACAAAAGAGAATATAAATATATAGTAGAAAATAGACCATAAAATAGAATATATAGTATATAATATAAATATATAATATAAAACATAAAATAGAATATATAATACAAAAGAGAATAAAAATATGTAGTAGAAAATTGACTATAAAATAGAAAATAGAATATATAGTATATAATATAAAAATATAAAATATAAAATAGAATAGAGAATATATAATACAAAATAGAATATAAATATATAGTAGAAAATTGACTATAAAATAGAAAATAGAATATATAGTATATAAGAATATAAAATATAAAATAGAATAGAGAATATATAACACAAAATAGAATATAAATGTATAATAGAAAATAGACTATAAAATAGAATATATAGTTTATAATATAATATAAATATGTGATATAAAACATGAAATAGAATATAGAATATATAACACAGAATATCAATATATAGTAGAAAATAGACTATAAAATATAAAATAGAATATATAATATATAATACAAAATACAGAATATATGATAGAAAATAGAGTATATAATATAGAATAGAGAATATAGAATATAAAATATTGAATATATGATTGAAAATAGAGTATATAAATATTGTATATAATACAGTATATTAAAATATAGAGTATATTTTGTATTTAATTCAGTGCACACAGCATATTTTGCATAGTGTATAATATTTAATGCAGTATAGAAATAGTGCACATAATACAATGTACTAAAAAGAAATATTGTCTAGAAATATTATTTATAATATTGTATTTAATTCAGTGTCTAGAGCATGGAGATATTATCTGTAATACAGAATATTAAAGATAAATAACAAAAAAATTATATATAATATAGTGTGTAAAACATAAATATTGTGTGTAACACAGAATATTAAAGAGAAATTATATATATAATTTTTATGTATAATCTAGTGTATACAACATATAAATATTGTGTATAACACAGAATATTAAAGATAAATTATATATATAATTTTTATGTATAATCTAGTGTATACAACATATAAATATTGAGTATAATACAGTATATTAAAATAAATTATATAAAATATTACATATAATGTAGTGTATAAAACATAAATATTGTGTGTAACACAGTATATTAAAGATAAATAATACATAATTTTCATATATAATATAGAGTATACAGCATATAAATATAGTGTGTAATACAGAATATTAAATATACAAACAGACTAAATTAAAACTATAAATAGGATAAACTAAAACTACAAACAAAGTAAATTTCAAAAGGAAAAAAACTCTGAATTTCCCCTGCCAGGTCGAGCAGCTCAGCCCTTGTGGCCAGGCTGGGAATGGTTGAATTTTCCTTTTTTTTTTTTTTTTTTGGGGGGGATTTTTGGGGCTCCCTTTGCTCCTTGACCGTGTCCCACAGTGTTCAGCATGATCATCATGTGCACGATTTTAACCAACTGTGTGTTCATGACCTTCAGCAACCCCCCAGAATGGTCCAAGAACGTGGAGTAAGTACAGAGGGCTCCGTGCAAATTGCAAATTTTACACTTGTTTAATTAATGTTCGATTATTCCTGTTCATTTATTCAATATTCCATTATTCCTGTTTAGTAAATATTCGATTATTTCTATTTATTTATTAAATATTACATCATTCCTATTTATTAAATCTTAGATCATTTCTATTTATTTATTTAATATTCGATGATTCCTATTTATTTATTTAATATTAGATTATTGCTATTTATTTATTTAATATTAAATGATTGTTATTTATTTATTTAATATTAGATTATTCCTATTTACTTATTTAATATTAGATTATTGCTATTTATTTATTTAATATTAGATTATTCCTATTTTTTATTTAATATTAGAATATTGCTATTTATTTATTATTAGATTTTTTCTATTTATTTCTTTAATATTAGATGATTGTTATTTATTTATTAAATATTAGATGATTTCTATTTATTTATAAAATATTCGATGATTGCTATTTATTTATTTAATATTAGATTATTCCTATTTTTTATATAATATTAGATTACTGCTATTTATTTCTTTAATATTAGATTATTCCTATTTATTAAATATTAGATTATTGTTATTTATTTATTTAATATTAGATGATTTCTATTTATTCAATATTAGATTATTGCTATTTATTTATTTAATATTAGATGATTTCTATTTATTTAATGTTAGATTATTGCTATTTATTTATTCAATATTAGATTATTCCTATTTTTTTATTTAATATTAGATTATTCCTATTTATTTATTTAATATTAGATTATTCCTATTTATTTATTTAATATTAGATGATTGCTATTTATTTCTTTAATATTAGATGATTCCTATTGATTTATTAAATATTAGATTATATATATAATATTAAACCTCCCAAAGTGCTGACTTTCCCCCCTTTTATTTCCATTAAACCTTTCCAATTCCCATTTTTAAAGGAATTATTTTGTTTTTCCTACAAACGGTTGCATTTCAGCAGCAAATCTTATTTCTTTAATCTCAGATGATTGCTCTTGAATGATTAATTACTCGATAATTTATATTTCTTTATTTTCCCTGGTGCCAGGTACACCTTCACTGGCATTTACACCTTTGAGTCTCTGGTGAAAATCATCGCCAGGGGCTTCTGCATCGACGGCTTCACCTTCCTGAGGGACCCCTGGAACTGGCTGGACTTCAGTGTCATCATGATGGCGTGAGTGCCCTGGGGACAGGTTTGGGACAGGTTTGGGACAGGTTTGGGACAGGTTTGGGACAGGTTTATCCCAGATTTGGGCCAGATTTGTGCCAGGTTTATCCCAGATTTGTGCCAGATTTGTGCCAGGTTTATCCCAGATTTGGGCCAGGTCTATCCCAGATTTGGGCCAGGTTTGTGCCAGATTTGGGCCAGATTGGGGCCAGGTTTATCCCAGATTTGGGCCAGATTTGTGCCAGGTTTATGCCAGGTTTATCCCAGGTTTGTGCCAGGTTTATTCCAGGTTTATCCCAGATTTGTGCCAGGTTTGTGCCAGGTTTGTGCCAGATTTATGCCAGGTTTAGTCCAAATTTATTCCAGGTTTAGTCCAGATTTATTCCAGGTTTAGTCCAGATTTAGTCCAGGTTTATTCCAGGTTTATTGCAGGTTTAGTCCAGATTTATCCCAGATTTGTGCCAGGTTTATTCCAGGTTTATTCCAGATTTATTCCAGATTTATGCCAGGTTTATTCCAGCTTTAGTCCAGGTTTAGTCCAGATTCAGTCCAGATTTAGCCCAGATTTATCCCAGATTTAGTCCAGGTTTATTCCAGATTTGTTCCAGGCTTTGCTGGGCGTGGGAGGATTTTAGGTGAAGAGTTAAGTTGGTTAAAAAACCAAAAAAACAAAAAACCCCAGAAAAACCAAAACAAACAAACAAAAAAAAACAACAAAAAAAACCCCAAACCCCAAAAAAACCCAAACAAAATCAAACCCATTATTTTTATAATTATTATATTAATTATTATTATAATATTTATTTAATATAAGAATATTTATAATTATATCATATTCAATATTTAATATAAAATTATGGATAATATTTAATATAACATTTATAATTATATAATGTTTAATATTTAATAGCTAATATTTAATATTTAATAATATTTATAATTATTCTATTAATTAGTTATTAATATAATAATGTCAGGAAGGAGACTCTTGATTTTCCTTCCTCATTTTTTTTTTTCTCCTGCTGGATTGA